TTAGCTTAGCTCCATCCAACGCTAACAAAATCCTCCCACAAGCAACACATAGGCTCACGTTATTATATCCTATATCGTATTTGTTCGATTTAAGATCATGCAAGGGGAAAATAAATGATGACTTGTGCTTTTAAGCGGGGCTAATGTGTTTTAGCTGCACTCATTGAACACTTTATTAGAAATACCTTCACACCGGCTTAATCATATAATTATGCAATTAGCAAATCACGTGGCAGCAGTTACAGGTGAGGAGTTCAGTTGATGTTAAAATCAAACACTGGATTTTCAGGTACACTGCAACCACACTGTGCAAAACAGCAACGTTCTGTCATATCGTGTCCCACTTCTGTTAGGAAACAAGAACAGAAATCTGAGGCTGCAGTGTGCAAACGCTCACCAAACACAAAGTGGAAAAAATGCAGCCTGGTCTGATGAATCCTGATTTTTTTGCTGAGGCTGTAGATGGTTGACGATCAAGGTTTGAATGCCGCAGCCTGTCTATGTATTACTGCTGACCGCATGCATCCCTTCATGGCCGCAGTCATCTAATAGCTGCTTCCAGCAACGATATTGAGGTCAGTCGACTTGAGCGTCCTCCGCAGTCGCCAGATCTGGAGCCAGCAGAACAGCGTAGGAATGTGGTGGAAGAGGACGGTTTGAGATTCTGATGCTGATGTCTGACTGTCAAAGGACTGTTTCTAGCGTATTATAGAACCGATAACTGAGAAAAAAAGTGAAAACCTGGCTGCAAAAGTGGCGGGAAAAAAACAACATGTTAAAGCAGTGCAATATCCCGGTTCATGTCCCGGTGGGGGCACCAGGATCTTTCTGCGTGGAGTTTGCATGTTCTCCCCGTGCAGCGTGGGTTCTCTTCGGGTTCTCAAGCTCTTAAACTGAGTCCCTGTCTGATATTAGTGTGATGTGACTATAAAAGAGTGTATTTCTTGATTGAAATGTAAAAGGATTGTCAGGCTGGCTGTCTTTCTGCTAAGCTGAGCTAATTGATTGCTGGACGGATATGAGGGTTGTTTTAATTTTCCCCCCAAAAATCTTAGAAAATATCTGTTCTTTCAAAATAAAGCAGTCAGTGATCTCATATATTTACCAGCTGGTACAAGATGTACTCAAGACTATCTGCCTGATATGAGCTGTTATCAAACCCTTAGTGACTTAAATGACTACTTTCAAAAACTCACAGAACTCCTACTGTATGTTCCTCAAAGGCATCAGTAGATATTCAGCAGAGTTGGCAAGTTGGTTGGTTCACCTCGATTGACACATCTGTTACGGGAGGAGTTCCTGATGTGACACCACATCTGTACTTCCCTCTCCTCTAACGTCCACGTTTCTTCACTGGGTCAAAGCCACGAGCAGCAGCAGCAGCAGCAGCTTGTTACATCACATCCAGCGCTTCTGCATTTGTGCTCCCGCAGAGAAATTATGTAAATCTGCAAAAGAAATTTCTCGCTCAGCATTTATGCAGTAAATACAGAAGTGAGCGAGGAAGTGATCTTATTCATCCCGCTGATGCCTGAGTGAGAAGAGGAATCCTCTGGCCAACATGCAGAGCAGACAGAAGGACACCCTTTCCAATCTATGAATAGCCCCCATGCACTTTGAGCATCAAGAGCTAAACGAAACAAGCTGCAGGGAAGTCACCTCAGCTTTTACCTCAACTTCTGCTTTTACTTCCTCCGTATGTGTGTGTTCATGAAAATGTGCTGAATCTCCCTCCCTTCTCTTTATGCATGGCTGCTTTTAATATATCTGCATATTGTCCTGTGCTGTGAAGCAGTGTGCTGTGTGGGTTCTCCTATTGGATGCAACTCTAATTTTAGTTATATTATAGTTTTATAGTGCTGTTTAAATGGTCCATTTATAGCCACTGCTGCTTTACAGTGTAATGTCGTGTTTTGTTGCGTTGATTAAATGATTTAACGTATTTATATTGTGTTCTGTAATCAGTAACGTTCCTTCTTTGGTTGCCATGATTTCTGGATAAATAAATTGAACCTTGAAGTCTAGAACAAGAGCAGAGCATTTTTTGAACACAGACTAAACTTCTTCTGAATGTTTACTTTGGATTTCTAGTACTTCCAGGTGGATGGAAACAATAAACACACCAGTCGAGTTAGTTGTGATGGTTTTTAGTGGTGGAAATGTCATTCAGCAACTGTTCATAAGGTTGCCATATGGTTATGTCTGAACACATTCATGGTCCCCAGAGGAGGATTCCCCCTTTAACTCATCCTGTGAAGTATCTTAACATCTACTGGATGGACTGGTGCCCACTTTGGAGAAGGTATTTAGAAGGACTGGGATGAATCCTAATGGCCTTTTCTTGTTCTTCTGCGAGTGTCATCCTGAGGTTCAAACACAGATTGTGTGTAAAACTGGATGCAGCAAGTGAATATGTGACCCGTTGGTTTGCACTGTAACCAAACTGAAGCCTAGAGAAGCACTTTATGGTCACCGCTGTCTTTTCCAATTGGAGCCAAAAGGCACAAAATAGGAGAAACGAGATTGAACATGAAGAAGTGACACTTTGAACTGGACTGTTTCACACAACGTATGTTAGCTACATGTTAAGGGGGAATGTACACACTGTGCTTAACACTGACACTGTGTATAAAATGTATTAAAACTGGAAACCATTAAGAAAATAAACACTGACGTACCTAGAAAACTGGATATCGACATTCCCTTCAGGGTCTGTTAGTAGGATTATAGAACACCCTGTAATACATGAACTAAAATCAAGTTAACAAACAGAAAAACTGTTTTTGAAAAATGTATTTACAGTTGCACTGACAAACGATGTCATTATAGCACAAATGAATCTTAAAAAACATAAATGCGACTCAACGTCTCCACGGAGGACCCTCATGTCAGGTAGATCAGTCAAGCCCCAAACAAACCTCATTTAAAGCCAAATATCAACTCATTTCTGGAATTCTTTTAAAAAATACCACCAGCGTACTGATCAGAAGGGATAAATTCAGCCAACAGCATCATAATGACTTGTGGAGAAAAATGGAGTGACGTAGTATTTCTGATGTTTTTTGAATGGGCGTCTATTGGAGCCGGAGATTTAATGGAGGAGACACCTAGTGGTCCCCAGTGGTATTACACCCTAAGATACTTCCACGCTGGCTTCAGTTTGGGCTGTGGTTGTTGCTGGTGGGGTTCACATTTGTGGTTTTGAGTGAAATGTCTTGACGACTGTTGCATGTTTTGACACAGGCATTTGTCACTCTCATGAGGAAATGTAATAACTTCCCCTTCAAGGTGGAGTCTGCGATTCTAGAGGAAGATAGTTGATTTTCAGTTAGCTGTAGCTGTGCCAGATTTAATGGGCCTTTCCCTCCCATTTCCCCTTGTCTAGTGCACGAGAATGCAGATGACATAAAGGAATAGCGTTGTGTGGAGTGACACAAGACGCTTCCCATTTACAGAGCCAGAGCTGTGCACGAACACCAGATGTTATTCAGAACCCAGATCAGCCATGAAACTAAAACCACTGATAGGGTGAAGTGAATGATATAGATCATCCTGTTACAATGCAACGTTCTGCTCGGAAATCTTTAGTCCTGCCATTCATGTGGATATTACTTTGACATGTACCGCCTGCCTGAACAGACAGCAGCCCACAAAACAAAGACAGGAACAGCTCGAGGAACACAATCAAGAGCCCAAGGTGTTGACTCGGCCTCCATACTCCCCAGATTCCAGTCCAATGGAGCATCTACAGGATATACCGGAACAACACCGATCCACAAAGCTCCCACAATGCAGCCCACAGGATCAAAAGTATTCACTGCCAACACCCTGGTACCAGACACCAGTCACGATCCGATGGGTCAGCACTGTTTTGGTGGCACGACGGGGATCGACACGACATCGGGCAGGCAGCTGCGTCAAGGCAGGAGAGTGGTCTATCTGCACAAATGATTCTTTTATGAGGGAACTATTATCTGGGTTGTTTGTACTTCCTTGAACCAATAACAACCATCTCTGGTGGTGCTAAGCCCGGGATGTAGCTACGGTGCCCCTGCAGAATAGGGTCACTTCAAATGCGCTCATACCCACAGTCTACGTCTGGTGGGTTGGACTGGTGCACACACAGAACGGACACCTGTGAGGAGATAAAGCTGTATTTGAGAAAAAATGTACTGAATTTAAATCACATGCCCCACCTTTAATGTTGTCACCACCATCAGGCCGAAACATCACTTCCTGTCCAGTACTGTGGGTTATTATGACCAACCATACCTGCACAACTAATGACGAGTCCATCAGCCTCAGCAGAACTCAGTGTTCAGAACTAATTAGCACAGAAAAACATTTAAAACATCATAGCTGCTTAAAATCAGTATGCTAACATGCCATTGTGAGCATGTTAGTCAACTATTGTGCCTGAGCACAGCCGTGCAGAGTTACAAACTCTCTGAAATTTTGTTGCAGCTGTGTGAATAAACTAAACGCTGAATCGTGTTTTAAAACGCGTCCCTGTGTGTCCTCCTCTTTTTTTTTATGCACACCACAATGGAAATGCAGTATGGAAATGAGCCTCGGACTTTATTAGGCTGCTTGGACTCCCAGAAGGTTGGAAACAATGAGGCCACTGCAGTAAAAGCATCAAACTGGGCAACTTCTCACCACAAACGTGTTCATTTCTGCTTATTTCATTGTAGTTTTACACACTTCCTACACCGTGGTTGCAGGTATGTGTGTATTCCGTGGTGCCACAGTGTGTTCACCTGCAGGCCATTGTTCATAAAGGTCAGTGAGAGGTGTGTTTGCACCTTCAAAACCATTGTTAAATGTGTTTGGGAACAGAATGTCTCCATGCGTCTGGGTTAACACTGATGCCCAGTCAGACTCCATTCATGAGGAGGCTTCCCCTTCTGCTAGAGCACGGAGGGGAGGACTGACAGCAGGTGGGTGTGACCAAAAAAATACGAATATGCATTACACTGCAAGTCTGACAGCCGCCTCGGTCAGTATGAATGGTGGGAGCTGCAGGGAGCGAGTGTGGTGCAGCAGTTTGACAAAGTTTGTGAGAGGAGACAGAAATAGAGACAGAGAGACAGAAAAGCGCGCACATGGTTTGCTGGATGATTTTATTTTTTCTTAACTCCGCGCTGCAAAAAGTTTGAAAGTGAAAGACAAATGTGTGTGTGTGTGTGTGTGTGTCAGGTCACACTGGTGCAAACTCAAAGCGCACCTCGCAAATGTTGGCTGAGTTTAAACAGAAAAGACGTGCAGAGTTTGGCGGCCAGTCATGTGGGGTAAGTCTGTCATTTTATTTCGTGAGTTACACGCGTAAAAAAAAAAAAAAAAAAAAACCTCCAGAGAAGTTCACAGCTGTGCTCCCTTCAAAGCCCCAAAATGAGGAAGCAGCTTGTGTGTAATGATGAAACTCTGCGTTCATTTGCAGCACAGCGGAATTTCAATACTTTTATTGCTCAGAATGAAACGGGGCAGAGATGTTAACAGCTTTTTTAAGAAGTTCAGAGCAGACTGGGGGCCGTGCAGCGCTCACTGATGCGTAATGGGCGGTTTGCGCACAGATAAAAGGAAGTGTGCGGTGTCAAACACAGATAGTAACCCGGTCTTCCTCTTCCTTTTGTGTTTTTTTTTTTCTTTTTTTGTTCAAGTTATTGAATGACTTGACCTAAAACGGTTTTCTGTCACTTGGCTGCAGACTGTGCGCAAAACTCCGCACTCTGCAGCGCTGCTCTTATTACTGTCACGAGCAGCCAAAGAATGTTCCTGTGACTTGTCACTGATCTTTTTCTTTTTTTTTTATGGTCCGACCTTATCAGCGTGTGAAGTTTGGTTGGCGAGCGTCACCTCCTGGAAAAAAGTCTACAGCAGAAAGCAGTAGGCGTCTCTCAAGCTGTTCATGAACTTGAATTGTTGCAGCTGCAACCAGGGAAGTCATTGGAAGATGCTGCGTTCAAGTGCTGTCGGAAACGGTTTAAGGTTCCCTAACGAGCACATGCCTCAGCAGTGAACCTTCATACCTCAAACTCATTGTGCTTTTCTTACAAATGATCCCAAACTATTACATGATATAAATTCAGATATCAGACTAATTAGGAGAAACTAGATGGGTCACTGAAAGTTTAAACAGAAAGAATTGGCAAATATTATTATTTTGCCTTTTCAGTTTTAGTTGTTTTCATGCAAAAAAAGAACAAACACTTATTATCTAATCAGACTATTTTGTCTCCGGGTCAGGGTAGTCGCTGTTCTCACACTTCTGACTGCATCACGTGATCTTCTATAGAAATTTAGAGTTTGTCAAGTTGTAATTTCATCAGATATTTTAATTTTCTGAACCCTTTGAGGCCTTTTTATCCACGCTGTCATTGTCAAACATTATGTTGAAGTTGCTCAACTGCAGGGTGGGTGTTGCCACATATAGCCGGACCTATAACCACAGCGCTGTGGTCGTTGGAGAATGGTCTGGCCACACCTTTATGTCGCTGTGCTGTAGGTTCAAATAATAAGCTTTGCATTGTTTGTATTTCTTTGAACCAGTCACAACCAGCCCTGGATGCTGTGATGGTGTCCCTGCAATGTAGAGATGAGGGAATTGTTTTGCATGCAGGGAAGCGAGCGCCGTCATTTACATGGATAATCCATTGAAAGACGCAGGCCTACATTACTGCACGATCCAAATCTGTGGGTAGCTAACTAATCCTAAGGGGATTTTCAAAATGGTTACGTGCAAATATCAGAAAGGGAGAAGAAAGCTACATAAAATATGTTGAGTAAATGGTAGATTTATACTTGAAGTCTACATGTGGTGAGTCAGGCTACATGTACTTTTAGCAGAGGTTGTTTCATCAATTTCTGTTTCTAAAGTGCAGAAGAAACTGAAATTGGGTACGATTTATGTCACATTAGTCTGAATCACTTTACCCTTTGGCTTTGACTTTGGTCTTATGATTAAGCCGCAGTTGTCCTAATAAAACTCAGCAATTAAAGCGTGAAAGTTTATTGAGCTGCACTGAATACTTGAATAAGTGATAGAGTCCTGTAGTGCAAAAAAAGAAAAATGAATTAACAAATAAATTGTGTGAATGTCGGAGCCGTGTGACCGTCTTGGATCTCAGTGTCTCCACAAGATTGCAGTTTGACAAGGAGTCCAGTTTGAAGCGTAAAAATTCGTAGCGTGGCATGAGGACTTTCTGTGGAGCCTCCCACAGCGTCTTACAGCCTTCGTTAGCGGATGATGAAACAAATGTGCTCATGAAGGTCATGAGGCTCTGACATACAGAGTTCACTTATTTATCAGATTGAACGTCAGAAAACACCTCGTAATTGGAGCTTTTGTCAAACTTCTTTTTGAATTCTTTGCTTATTTTGCATGTTTAGTTTCTCTTAACATAACTTATTTCCTCCGCCCTGAAGGGGGCACCACAGTTGCAGCCTGATTTAAATTTTCGTGAGTCGTTTGCTGAATTTCCACCGATTTTTATTCTCCGTTCTGCTTTGCTCTGACTTTGTTTAAATATCTCCAGCAGTGCTTGAACTCATCATCACGCTGGAGGGAATATTTCAAATTCTTTGGCTTGTGCTGAACAACTTTCCTGTTATTTTCTGTTTCTAAGAAACATTTTGGTTTTCTCTCTTAAAGATTTAAAGCAACAGCGCGACGTTACATCGCTCTACTTTCATATTTTCTTCTGGCCGTTGTCATCCATCATTTCTCCGCTATTTGGACTCAGTAGGACGAAAGAGTCGGAGGTTAACTCTGCCTGGTGGTGTAGAGTGTGTGTGAGTTTCGTAATGATTGGCATGGGGTTTCCCTGTCCCTGTTTCCTTCATTCATGTGGCTGGAGTCTGAGACGTATAGAGCTGCCAACCCGGATATGAGCTGAATATTGAGTGAGTGTGTTTGAAGGAGAGAAGAGAGGAAGAGAAACTGAACTTCACTGAACAGTGAGCAAGAGTGTGTGACGGAGAGAGACAATGGGAGGGATTGTGTTTGCATAGTTTATTAACGCAGCCTTTATTTGAAGAAGCCTGTTCCTTCAGGCCATGTGTTGTGTTGATCCCTGCGTTTGTTTGTGTGTGCGTTATAAAGACTCATTGTGTTGCTTGGTGACCTCAGCAAACTTCCTCCTGTCACTTTGCACCATTTTGCATCCCCAGCAGCTAAATTGGACGCTTGGCAGGAGGAAGTAACAAAACACAGGCTTTGTGCACTTTGTGTGAAGCTGATTTTGTATCGTGCATTTCTGTCAAGGTGACAGATTACATGTAAAACGCAGGTAGACTGGAAGGACGTGCTCAAGCTCTGCTGATACGTCCCACAACTGTGACTTGTTCGGGTAAAAACTGAAATAATATCAGCCTCAAATTAACACGAAACCTTTAGGAGATGAAGCTAAAATCATGCCGTCTTCTCTTCTGTTGAACTTCAGAGACGCTGCTAGAGCGCAGTGTTACTCCAACACTAAAATCATGTTTAAAATCCAGACAGCGGACACATCCAGGCCAACAGACTGACCATCACATGTACATCACATTAATTGTTCCACCTGCACAGGTGTTTCCACTCACGTTACCTCATTAGACCCTCAGCAGTGTGTAGGAGTTCAGACGTTTTGATTCGTCATCGTAGGAAAAGCATCAGTGTTACTAAAGACCAGAAGAGGAAGAAGTATTCAGAGCCTTTAGTTCAGTAAAAGTAGCAGAACAACGCTGTAAAAATACTCCATTGTAAGTATAGTACTGTATGATTTAAAGTTTTTGATCCCTCTGACTGACACATGGTTATATATACCATCATTAATAGTGAAGCATCAGTGTTTCAGGAGCTTGTTACTGTGGTAGTTTGTATACTTCAGTTTTATTTACAGGAACAGCAGATTAATCTGAGGGGTAATGAGACGATAAATGGACACAGACTTTTTCTGAAATCCCTCATTTTTGCCGATGTATTGGCTCATTTGAACATTTACTCAAATGAAACCATGTGACTAGTTTAGAGGGAAAATCGCCATTTGGTGGAAGTTCTAACAACTCGCAGGCATCTTCAATGTGAGCTCGACGGCAAAACAGTTAGAAAGCAGTTGTTTAATCTGTAACTGTGTGTTTTAAAAGCTTGTTTCCTTCACCAAAAAGTTGTCAGATCACTCATCACCCATCACTCCCAACAACATAACAACCATTTTGTTCTGTTCAGATGTCCAGGTGACAGCGAGCCTGCAAACACAATGCAGCCATAATTAAATGCATTATGTACCTGTGCTGTTCCCGCTGCCTGCCCAGGTGTTTTCCATGTAAAAGGCCTTTTGTCCTCATTCGCTAGAAGTCAGTGTTCCAGTGAAAGCCCTAAACCTCCTTTACAGCCCATCATACAACCTGCAGGTGTTTGCATTTGCTTTTCCCATCAGGCCTCCTCTCAGGACATTATAGAAGCATAAAGACCGGCTTGATCTGCACGTCAGATCACACTAAAGGAGCGAGAGTTGATATTTTATTGTGTCAGATGTCAACGTTTCTGCAGTGTGAAGCTATAAACCCTTTGAGGAGTTGGTTTACTTTGGCCGCCGTAGCCATGATGACGGTAAATAAAGCCTCTCCTGTGATGTTCGGCCGTCGTGTTGTGAGTCGGTGAGCATGGAAATGAAGTCAAAGCAGGAACCGACTGATTACAGGTTGCTCTGTGTGCTGTTCCTCCATATAGACAAATTAGGGGAAATGTACATACGAGGGGTCGCTATGGAAACGCAGGCGGAAGTAGAGAAAGGTGAGAAGAAGCAGCTTTGCAGGTCATGTCAAGTTCATCTATCAGCAAGGTGAGATTCAGGCATCGAGTGAGATTAATGTATCGTCCGGAGAAGGACTCTGAAGGATGAGCTGCAGTGGAAGGAGAAGCATGCTGGAGGCCAGACAGACTGATTTAACCCGAGTTAGTGCTGCACAGACACACCTCTGGTCCGTGATATCACAGCCGGGGAGGTCTGGGGAAACTCAGAAGCTAAAGAGTCCAGCAGACTGTTGATATAAAATGAAGGAAATGAGAGCGTTCAAGCGCTCAAGTGCAGAAAACGAGAGTCGAAACAAACCAGATGTTCTGCCTCTGGAGCCGAGTGTTCTCCTATTATGACTAAGAGCCACTCAAATGTCTGAGAAAGTACCACTTCAAGACCTTATTGTGCTTTTTTTAGGTTGCGAATTTATGACTTGAGTGCATCAGAAAAAGGCTTCTTAAGTTGATGCAGCAAGTTTTTTAACAGTTTAAACAGTTGCTTATTCACGCATCAGC